ATTACCTGTCTAGGTACTTCCTGAAGGATAATGTGAGAATTTTCCTTTGCTTTACCTACCCTGGCATTCACTCACAGAGGACAGGGGTACAAACATTCCTCAATACCTTTTATTTTAAAAAAATATTTATTAGTAAAACACCATGAGGTACAGTTGTAGACTTACAATTTTGTACCCATCCCTCCACCAGGAACTTTTCTTTTTTTTTATTAAAATTTTTTTTAATAGTGAGACATCATGAGGTACAGTTACAGACTTACACATTTTTGTGCTTGGGTTTCAATTATACAATGATCAAATACCCATCCCTCCACCGGTGCCCATTTCTCACCACCACAGATCCCAGTATTCCTCCCACCCCCCATCCCCCCATCCCACTCTGCCTCTGTGGCAGGGCATTCCCCTCTGTTCTCTCTCTCCTTTTGTCCCCAATACCTTTTATGGCAAGCAAACAATCCATAATTCCCTAAGAGAAAAATATTGCTTAAGGTAAGCAATAGGGCATAGAAAGAAACATAGAAAGGAAGATATGAAGTAACTTGGAGGAACAAGTTGGAAGCAAGTTCTTTGGAAATTAGGGCATATGCAAGCACCTGGATACACTGGGGAATCTGGAAAGCCCACACATGGAACTTGGATCACCTTCACGGAGACCAGCTACTCAGTCCATTGAGCAATCTCTTTGGGTCCCTCTGTTTTCCAACCTACAAAATATGGTTGATTGCAATATTTATGAATGTTTACATGAGGAAAGAATAAAACACCATTCTCTGAACTATCTGAGGCTTATGAAAAGTTAATGTAGAGTCATCTACATTCTTCATGTCTTTTCTGCTTTCATCATTTATTGGTTACAATGAACTTTTTCTACTTTTGTAATTTTGTTGTGTTAGTGGTGAGTAGTTGCGGGGGGTCATACATTTTGTTTTTTTTTTTTTTGGGTGGCTTTTGTATTACCAGGGACTGAACTGTGGCTTCATGCATGCAAGACCACCACTCTACCACTGAGTCATACCCTTGGGTCCAATGCTTTTCCCTCTGTGGTGTCAGCGATCAAACTCAAGACCACACTACAAGGAAGGCAAGTCTTCTACTGCTGAGGCACATCCATGGCCATATTTTTTCTTTTAGATTCAATTAGTTTGAATTAAATTTTTGTCACTTGCCACCAAGAGACCTCCCTGAGACATTGCTTTTTAAATTTTTATTTTAAATAGATCACCATAATTACAATTTTGTTGTAATTTTAATTTGGGTTACCCTTTGGAGTTGGAACATCCTAGGACTGCCCCACTTCTCCCTTATTACCAGTCCTAGCTGTATCAATCCTTCTGTACCAATTCCTTACCACAGTAGCTCTCAAAGATGGGATTCTGGCAATGACATCTCTGAGTTCCAAACTCATAACCTCACCAGATGTCTAATACTTAGCCAAAAATCTAAAATGTCCCAGACAGAAATCATGATTCCCTCCCTCAAGTTTTCTGACTCATTTCAATAAATGGACTTTTTCTTTTCTCTTTTGCACACCAAAAACCCAAGTTATCCAAACCAGATGTGAACAGGAATTTTCTTATGAAAATTGTGCTGAGAGCTGGCAAGATAACTCAGAGGACTGAGGACATGTTTTGCACTTGGCAGGATTGGTTTTGTCCCCAGTACCACACGGTCCCCTTCTCACCACTGGAAGTGACCTCCAAGTACCAAATCAGAAGTAGGCTCCCTGCCCCTACCCTTGCATCACTGCTAAGTTTGGCCACAAAAACCAAAAAGGAGAACACACAGCTTCAAAACTGACGACTAGACTTATATGTGGCTTAGCTGTAGGCTTCACGCAGGTTTCGTATGTGTGAGGTCCTGGGCTCCATGCCAAATATCAAACACCAACAATGCCCGCCCCCTCCCCACAAAACGTGAATGCCTTGAAGTCTTTGTGTTTTCTTTTTTTTACAGTTTATAAGTTCAAATCTTACTGATACTTATCAATTGTCTCTTTTGAAGAATTAGTTAGTCTTAATGCATATTCTGCAAGAACAACTAGAATATATTTGGCAGTGGCAGTAGGATAGCCACACCCAGCGGTACTGAGAGCTTACTCTTGACTCTGCACTTAGGGATTATTCCTGAAGGGGCTTGGTGGACCATATGGGATTCCAGGGATCAAACCCAAGTTGACCGTATGCAAAGCAAATGTCCTATCTGCTGAACTATCACTCCAGATGCCTACAAACACATAATATTTAAAGCCTGTGACCTCGGAGTTTCTGGGTGGTTGATTTGTGGGACACATTGAGAGGTGTTCAGCAGATGATGAGGTATAAGAAATGGAAAGTGGGAACCCCATATGCTTGGACCTTTCAGCTCTCTCTCTAGCCCTGTTACCTAGTTTTAATTCACACTCACACACGCACACACATATGCACACACGCAGGAGGGAGCCATACCTGGCAGTTCCCAGGGCTTATTCCTGGCTCTATGCTAAAAGATCACTCCTAGTAGGGCTTGAGGGACCATATGGGGTGCCAGAGATATAAGCCAGGTCAGCTATGTGCAAGGCAAGTGACTCACTGGCTCCAAGTTACCTAGATATTTGACTCTTAGATTTTGGGTCACACTCCGGGCTTACCCCTATGGCTGAGCCACATCCCTAGCCTCTATTCACTTCATTTCCTATGGATTGTTGATATTGATTCCATTATCTTTAATGTTCAGAACAACTCACTGAAAGATCTGTAGTCTTAGATTTGTTTTCTCTGGACATGCTTCTCTGATTGCTGTTACTGAACATAATTCACCACTTGTCACATGCACTGGGAAGTCTTGGCGGCTCTGGTTTCTGAACCCGTCAGATCTACCACTACTCTGTTAATGCCCACCTACCACTACTCTGCTCTGTCTTGGGGTAAAAGCAGTGAATGTGGAACCCAGTGCAACAGGGGCACCAACATATGAATCTCAGTTTCTCTAACAATTAAAAACTGTATACTCTTGCTGGAGCAATAGCACAGCAGGCAGGGCATTTGCCTTGCACATGGCTGAGCCGGGTGGACCGCGCCCCGCCCTCTCAGAGAGCCTGGCAAGCCACTGAAAGTATCCTGCCCACACAGCAGAGCCTAGTAAGCTACCCATGGTGTATTTGAAATGCCAAAAACAATAACAAGTTTCACAATGGAGTGAGCAAATTGATAAACAATGAGATGACAGCGCAGTGCTACAGAATTTATATTGTTTTGGGGGGTGGGGGTGTTTGGGGGCCATGCCTGGTGGTGCTTGGGGCTTACTCCTGGTTTTGTGCTTAGGGATCACTTCTAGAGGTACTTGGGATCATATAGAGTGCCGGGGTCAGCCATATTCAAAACAAATACCTTTGATCCTGTACTTTCTTTGGCCCCCTAGAATTAATTTTTGAGGGTTTATATATATATCCACATATAATATATATTGTATATATACCCCTTCCAATATATCTATACACACATATCACAATACATTCTTGGAAGAGTTAGCAATATCCTCATGGCTTATTCTTAGGCCACAGAAATGATTTTGTGTGTGTGAGTGTATGTGTGAGAGAGAGTGAGAGAGCGAGAGAGAGCGAGAGTGAGAGCAAGAGAGCGAGAGAGAGAGAGAGAGAGAGAGACTAAGGGTCTCAAACATGCCAGGCTTGCATCCTACTATTGAGTTTAAGAACTTTCCCAGCTCAGAACTCCTTACTGTTAAAGTCATTTTATTATAAGGAAAATAAAATTTATAATGCAAAGGTGCCAATTAAATGAAGGCAACTCTTGAGCACTGTGATTTTGCAAGTTGTAATTGGGCAAACAATTAACATCAGAAATTAGTTTTTCTCTAGAAATCCAGAACCACATCATAACAGTTTTAGATTCATTATAACTTGAGCATTTTTTGTTATTCTTGTGATGATGAATGGAGAGTATGTACACATTTACTTGTGGTGCTTACTCACACACTTAGTGGTGCTGTGCCAGAGAAGTAGTCTCGGGGGCATTGAGAATTTCAAAACAGTATTTCTTGGCTCATGTAGGGTGGTTCTGGGTCCAACTCAGGCCCCACACTTGTAAGGCAGACCTCTGCCACTGAGCTATCTCTGGTCCCCAAATGTAAGTATTCTGACTGCTTTCACCTGCCAGGGGACACTAGAGGGGCTGATTATAGATGTATATAAACAAGCTGTCTTTCAGGTTGGAGCATAAGAATGATCAAGATAATAACAAATATATATTATTTGCAGGTAATAACGATTACTATATAGTAGCCATTGTGCCCTTCACTGATATTTTCTCATTTAAAGGCCCTAATATTCTTTGTAGGCACAAATTAGGAAATATTTCACCCAGAGTCTCATTCGTGCTCCCAAGTCAAGTGAACAACAGCAGCAGAAACGACCCTTTCTTGAACAGCAAAACGTGCTTTCCAAAGTGCTGACACTGGAGATGGAGGTGGGATGTGTGTGTGTGGGAGGGGTGGGCAACTCAGCGAATGTATTATAATTCGGTGGGGGTAGGGTGTGTGTGTGTGTGTGTGTGTGTGTGTGTGTGTGTGTGTGTGAAAATTAATCTACTGATTTGGGAGTGCATCTAGTTAAACTAAAAAGAGGAGGATCAGACCAGGCTCCTGCTCATCCGCTGGAAAGTTTGAGCCCTGATGGACACAACTAGAACTTTTTAGGATCATTTGCCTTCAAAACAACACTTACAGAATCGCTGTCACAGATCCTGTGGCCACTGGACGGTTAGGGGCATCGCCAAGTAACGAGGGCATCCACGTGTGTCGGCGGCCTTTCATCAGGCTCTCACGCAGGGTGAGCAAAGGATAGCCGCAATTGCAGCCCTGGGCCGCTGGCAGAGAGGCTCGCTACTCTCAGTAGCCCCCGAGCCGGGTGGACCGCGCCCCGCCGGGTGATGCGATGGGCGTGTCCGGATTGCTCCTCCTCCTGGGCGGAGCCTGGAGGCGAGTGAGGTCCCTGCGGTACCAGGAGTCGGCGGCGGCGGCGGCGGCGGCGGCCGCAGTTCTCTGCTGGCGTGGGGCGCGCGGCCGCGATGACCTGGGACCTGCTCTTCACGCTGCTGGGGCTGGGCGCGCTGCTTGCGCTCGCGGTGCTGCTGCTGCGCTTCGTGCGTGCCGACGGCGACTTGACCCTGTTGTGGGCTGAGTGGCAGGGGCGACGCCCAGGTGAGGAGGAGCCGCCGCCGCCGTTGCCGCCGCGCTTCCTCGGGGCGCCGGGCTCTTGACTGCGTCCCTCCCCGGGGTGTGCGGCTTCCGGCCGGCGGGACACTGCGGGTACTGGGAGGAAGAGGCCCCAGGCACTCGGAGGCGATTCTGGCTCTTTTGTCTTCTTTCGGGGGTGACTACGGGCTTGCCCGATTGTCCGCGGAGGGGGCGCGTTGTGCATCTAGCGGGCACCCCCACCCCGGGCATTCGGATGTAGTGTCGGACGCCAGGACTTTGAAAAACTCAAAGAGTGGGCGTCCCGGCTGGCTGGCTGGATTTTGCTTGCGATTTTTCCATTTCCTGAAGTTGTCCTCCACCTCTCACTTCGGTGGAGTTTTGCAATCAAGTTGGAGATTAAAGTCACTATTCGTTGGCATAACATGTAATACCAGGAAGAGAGGGATTGACATTTTGTCTGGAGCATTAACATCCTATGGGGCCAGTGTCGACTTTTTTTTTTTTTTTTAAATCAGTATTCTGCTTGATAATTGTTGCGCCTTTGGTAAACACTTGTGTGTTCTGCGCAGGGCACTGGGTCCTTTACTCACACGACCAGCACTTTGACGGTGACTCTTAAGTAGTAGGCATTCTTAGTCACATTTTCCAAAGAGGGAAGCTAATGTTCAGAGACATTGTATATATGACCCGCCAGAAGCGAGATGTGCACATAAATAACCATAAGGGCTGGGGGAGCGGGATTTTTCCTAGACCGCTTTTCCGATATGGAAAATGGCTCAAAGCATATGAAATTTGCTTGAAAGGACAGCCAGTGCTCAAAAGATAGAGTGTGCTTTCAAAACAGAGCCAAAAAAGAAATAGGAGCAATATTGATTTCAAAGGAGTGACAGTTCCTTGGGAAAAGAAATCTTGGACTAAAGAATTCTTAGCTGGTACAATGCTTTTGTTCTTCCAAAGCTCATCTGGGCAGTGCAGAATCTTATACATATATATGCTGAGAAATAAAGCTCCCCAATCACACTTAATAGGAATCCCTCCTTAATTAGCCACCTTTTTCGTCTTATATGTCTTTCTAGAGAAACTCTGTGCTCCCAGGAATACATCTCATATGAAATTGAAGGGTGTTTAATTTTAGGTGTTGCACTTGGTTTAGAATAGCCATGGAACAAAGCAGAAATTTAAAAAGTTGCAATAGTAGCACTTGTGAAGAAAACGCAGGGATTTTGGTGACATTCTGCTTCAATATGAGTTAACTGTTAAGTGACGCCAGAGATTAGGCAAGCCTAGGAGACATGTGGGAGCTGAAGCAATAGACCACAAACAACAATAGGGAGCCTTCTGAATATCTACTTGTATGTGCTGAGCACTAGGGACTATAGAATAGTGACCCAGCAGCCGCATATGGGCTCTCTCAGACCCTAGCAGGACACATGATTTAGTCATCTCATCTGGCTCTGAAATGACCAGACTTCCCCACCAAGGGAATCCTGTGTCCTGCTCTGCCAGCTGTTTTCAATATGAACTTTGGCTGACCAGAGACTGTGTCAAGGAGTATGAACAGAAGAGCTAGGAAACTTGATGCCATGTCATATGAGGGAAGGTAGCAGAATTTGGAGGTGTTTATTTAGCTGTAGAGAAGCAAGAGATGAGAGGACTTAAGACATAACAGCTGTCTGCAAATACATGAAGGCTTGTCATGTGCATGGAAGGCTTGATTTATTCTTTCCAATACAACAGATGAACTGCTGCTTGTACTAGTTGAAAGCATTTTACATCAGTGGGGGGAAAGAATTCCGGAACCCTTGAGTGACTGGACTTGGTGAAAAAAAAAAAAAAAGAAAAAGGAGCAGGGGCTTTGGGATCACTAACTTGTCTGATCTTGTAAGGGTGTTGGACAAAGACTAGTCAATAGCTTCAGACTAGGTGGGTGGGTGATAAGTTTCCTTTCAGTTCTGAGAATCTACTTTCAGAGATTCTTCTCTTCAGGGGAGGTGATTATGTATGTCAGATTCTGTATGAAGTGGTCAACGAAAATTGGTGGTAAATTAAAATGTTTAAGAATTTGGGAGCTTCATCCTTGACTTTAAATAATGTTTGCTTGAAATTAAGCAAACATTATTGGGGCAACAGCTCAAAGGGTTGGAGGGGATGCTTTGCAGGCAGGAGGGCCCAGGTTTGATCCTTGGTATTGCAAGGTACCCCTTTTATAATTTATTCACTGTGAAATTACAAAATTATTCATGATTGGGCTTCAGGCATACAATGTTTCAACACTGATCCCTTCACCAGTGTCCACTTCCCTCTACCAGTCTGCTTCTATGAGAGGTGCTTCATTTCCTCCCAGTATGCTTTTGCACTGTGGTTTACAATACTGTTGCTGATAGGGTTCATATATAACATGTATGAACCTTACAGCACCATTTCCTCCTCCCAATTGAATGCTTCCCTCCACCATAGACATTGCCCCTCCCTGACCTGTTCCCCAGCCCTCTCCAGTGGCATGTTTCCTACTGAAGACCAGTTCTCATGTTCTTTGTTTTGGGCATTCATTATTCCACCATTATGTTTATGTCCTACACATGAGGGGGCTCATTCTGTGTTGGTCTCTCTCCCTCAGACTAACTCAGCACGATACTCTCCAGGTCTCTCCACATAGCAGCAAATTTCATGACTTCATCATTTTTATCTTTTCTTATGGTCAAGTAATATGCTTGTATGATCCCCTGAGTAGTGCTGGGAACATTTCCCCCCAATCCTTTAGCCAGGAGTATTCCTGAAACACTGCTGGTGTGGCCCCAAAACAAAGCAAAAAACCCCCAAATTTTCATTCTGTGATCATTAATAATTCCAGGTGAGCTGTCTCCATCCTAGAATCTGAGAATTCAAGACATTTGATCAGTGAGTGGTCTGTAGTCACTTGTATGTTCTTCCTGCATGCCTGACTAAAATCCTCCAGATAGGCTCAATCATGCCTTCTTTAAAAGTACCTCATATCCCAGTCACAAATCACAGATCACAGATCATCCTGTTATTCATTGATTGCCTCGAGCAGGCCCCAGTAACGTCTCCTTCATCCTAGCCCTGAGATTATATTCAAGGCTCTTTAGGAGAATGAGACCCATCATTGTTACTGGTATTTGGCATATTGGGTACGCCACGGGGAGTTTGCCAGACTCTGCCGTGTGGGCAGGCTACATTCGGTAGCCTGCCAATTTGTCAAAGTAGGAATGAGATGTCATAATAAGATGTCTCCTGCCCCTGCGCCTGGCTGTTCCTCGCCGGGGTCCCTTGGAGGGGAGCGGGTTGAGCTTTCCTCCCCGCCCCGACCAGGGCTCCGGCAGCGGAAGACCTCCAGGACCAGCCACCACCATGCCGAGACCACTCTCCGCACACATGAAGGTACTGGCAGAGGGACAAAGCCATGTGGGTTCCGGGGCCGAGATCTCCAAGCCTACTCGGATTGGAGTTGAGCATCCTCCACCCAGATCCTCCAAATTCCAGTAGGCGGGGATCACACACACCACCTGGCCCCCTGGCGCCGTGTAATCCCATCAGCGGCCAAGACTCAGAGACTATAAAATCCAGCTCCTGGAACCACGCGGCCACATTTGCGGCTGCGCGACATCTTATCAGGACATCTTTTTATGACATCTTATTAGCTCATTCCTACTTTGGACAAACTTGCAGGCTATCGAATGTAGCCTGCCCACAGGGCAGAGTCTGGCAAACTCCCCGTGGTGTACCAAATATGCCAAATACCAGTAACAATGATAGGTCTCATTCTCCTAAAGAGCCTTGAATATAATCTCAGGGCTAGGATGAAAGAGATGTTACTGGGGCCTGCTCGAGGCAATCGATGAATAACAGGATGATGAATGAATGAATGAATGAAATAAGATGTCACACGGCCGATTCCTCCGCCCATCTCGGAGAGCCCGGCAAGCTACCGAGAGTATCTCGCCCGCACGGCAGAGCCTGGCAAGCTACCCGTGATGTATTCGATATGCCACACACAGTAACAACAAAGTCTCACGATGGAGACGTTACTGGGCCCACTCAGGCAAATCGATGAACAATGGGAGGACAGTGACAGTGAATTAAATATTATATAAAGGCATCATATGTGAGTGGTCAGAGTTTGGCCCAACTTGCTGCAGGCTCCTGGGTGTTTATTTAACTAAGGAATCCTTTCTTTATTACCATGGGTGCTGGCCTCTGAAGACACAACAGTGAGCAGTGAGACAGTCTGGGGGGCAAATTACACTCTGTAAATCCATATCTATTTCCCACCCCCCCTTTTTTGAGAGAGATAGATATTGAGAGCGAGATCGAGAGTGAGCACATTGCAAGTTGTGATATGGGCAGCAGAGAATGTGCCAGCATTTTTTTGTTTGCTTTTTGGGCTATATCCAGCTGTGCCCAGGGCTAGTCCTGACTCTGTGCTTGAGGGGTCATTTCTGGAGGTTTTTGGGGGACTATTAAACAGTGGTTGTCCATATACAAGGCAAGTGACCTACCCAGTGTACTGTGTCTTCAACCTCCATGTCCTTTTTTTTTTTTTTAAAAAAAATAGAGATAATTTCTGCTTTATAAGGTTCTTTTTGTGAAGTCATCAATAAAGTTATGTATTTGAACATACTGGAAATAATGAAAAAATGTTTAGCTACTACAGCTAGCAATCCCCTTGCTCCTGGGTAGAGCTATTAAAGCACACAAGTTATTGAGTGAATATTCTGTGTTTCGCTGCCGTAAGCTCCCTTGTCAAAAATTTTTAAATAATGATTTTAGTTGGCTTTTTAAATTTTTTATAAATTATTTATTGAATCACCATTAGAGCAGTTACAAAGCTTTTGGGTTTAAGTCTCAGTCAAACAAGAATGAAACACCTGTCCCTTCAACAGTGCCCATTTTCCACCACCAAAAACCCCAGTATACCACCCAATCCCCTACCTGTGGGGCAGATGATTTCCACATTTCTCTCTCTCTCTTTGACTGTATTCAATATTTTGACCATAAAGGTAAAGGTAAAGGTAAAGGCCCTCCCGTGGTTCATCGATTTGCTCGAGCAGGCCTAGTAACGTCTCCATTGGAGACTTTGTTGTTACTGTGTTTGGCATATCGAATACGTCACGGGGAGCTTGCCAGGCTCTGCCGTGCGGGCGAGATACTCTCGGTAGCTTGCCGGGCTCTCTGAGAGGGGCAGAGGAATCAAACTCCGGTCGGCCATGTTGGCTGCGTGCAAGGCAAACGCCCTACCGCTGTGCTATCGCTCCAGCCCTGTTTTTACATTTCAACCATAGACCCATCATTATTATTTGGGATTTTACCCCAACACTCAGATCTGCTGAAAAGGCAACACTAGAGAATTTGTTTTCTATTGCTGATTATGAATAACATATGACGTTATGTGGCTACTACTAGTGATTTTGGAATTCCGAAATTTTAACTACTAATTCTGGACGAATTTCTGCCAAAAGCTGCTGGGTTCCGAGATTTGATTCTGAGTCTCTTGGATCATGGCCATTAAGCAGCTTGATCAGGAGCCAGAGAGGCCGTTCCTGGGCAGCAACTCAGGGTCTCATTGGGGCAGGGAGGAAAGATCTGGCTCCACCCCCATCCCGTGAGGCCCCACGTGTCTCATCACTGCGGGTCCGAACCTGACTGTCCCGTGGCCTCTGGAGGATGGTGGCCACTGAGCCGCCAGGGGGAATGAAGGCATGAAACCTATTCCCATCTGGGGTGGCCCGGTGCCGGTAACCTACTGCGTGCACCAGATGCGTTTCTGCCAAAAGCCGCTGGGTTCTGAGATTTGTTTCTGAGTCTCTGAGATCATGGCTGTTAAGCAGTTTGATAGGAACCAGAGAGGCTTTGCGTCCAATTATATAGCTGAGCTGGAGGTGGTTTGTGGGTGTGTCTCCCACATACCTAACTTTTGGCCGTTTATTTTCTTGGTAAACTTGGCCCCATGTTGTTGGGGTCTGACCAAAAGCATAGCAGCAATTTTGGGGTATCTGGAAGTCTGAAGGTGCCATCAGGCTGCTGATGCATTCGCCTCACAGGTACAGATTGACCTGCTGGCAGCACCATACCCCCTTTAGTTGACATTTTATTAAGTGCTAAGTAGATGCTCTGAGTCCTTCACGTATTTTAACTAATTTCTTGTAACCATTTTGTGATAGGCATTTTATTACAGACCTTATTTTCAGTTTTAAAAAATTGAGGCACGAATTCTCACTCAAGAGTCTGAGTACTGGGAGCAGGATTTGGGTCCTGGAGGTCTCTAGTCTCCAAAGCTCACCCTATTACGCCAACAGGTTATGTTTATATATTTATTCATTTTTGCTTTTTGGGTCACACCTGGTGATACTCAGGGCTTAGTCCTGGCTCTGCACTCAGGAATTACTCTTGGTGGTGCTCAGGGGACCATAGAGGATGTTAGGGATTGAACCCAGGTTGGCTGCATGAAAGGCAAACGTCATCATACTGCTGTACTATTGCTCTGGCCCTTAAGATTTATGTATTTTTTGGCTTAAACAGTAAGCTGGTTTCCTAGCTGTAATTTTTTGATGTAAATTCAGAAATGTGTTTATGAAGGGATATGTTGTTTGTTATTTTTCATAAATAACAATTACTTTAGAAAATAAGACACTGGAATGTTGGACCAGTGACTGTACAAATTCAGAGTTTCTTTTTAGACAAAATGAGAATAAATTATCTGTTGTTGCTTTAGCAAAGTGATATCTTTACAGTCTTTAGCAAGAACGTAATGGATAATCAGTACACTATGCCATTTCTCTGTCACATGCACTTTATCTTGGGTGAATTACGGAACCTCTTTAGAGGACAGCTCATGCAATCAGGGAACATTTTTACACAACAGCCTCTAGCTGAAAGACATTAGATGTGATTAACAAATGGGGAAAATGTGACTTTAAAGTTAAGGAGAATTCCATCATGCCATAGAGTAGAATTTGGTACACTCAAATTCATCATCAATATGACGATGATGGTATATTCAGATCATCGTCAATCACCTTGCAAGAGAGCTTACAAGAAATTAGAAAGAAAATATTGAAACCAAGTGAGAATTTTATTGATGATCTTAACTGAATCCCTAATTTTATGGATCTGGAAAGTGAGAAAAAGTGTGAATCCAGATTCTGTTGACTTAGCCTTTCTTTTCTTCTTCAGGTACAAACATAAACAGCCCCAATGGATAAAGGAACATAGAGAGATAGTACACAGGCTAAAACACTTGGTTTGCATGTGGCTGACCATAGTGGGCACCGCCGGGAGTGACTCCTTGAGCATTGATGAGTGTGACCCAAACTGCACCCCTTCTGCAATAATATAGATCTATGGGGTGAGATCAGTGAGTTATGAAGCTTACCTGGAAATAAAATATGGAAAATTCATGTGGGTACTGGAATACAAAAAATAGGGATTTTCTTTTTATCTAAAAAGAGACTTTGGGGCTGGAGCAATAGCACAGCAGGTAGGGTGTTTGCCTTGCACACGACCAACCCAGGTTCGATTCCCAGCATCCCATATGGTCCCCTGAGCACTGCCAGGAGTGATTTCTGAGTGTATGAACCAGGAGTAACTCCTGTGCATTGCTGGGTATGACCAAAAATGCAATAAATAAATAAATAAATAAATAAAAATAGACTTTAAATTTCCTTATTGAGGTTTGTTCTATAAAAATACATACCTCATGTATACAACTCAATGAGTGTGGAGATCAAAGCATTCATCTCTGAGACTGTCACCATGATCGAAGTGTTAAGCTAGATATTTAATTTTTTTAAGCCCTTCACACTGTCTTTATATTTACTGGTATTGCTTAAAACTCTTTTCCCTGTAATCTTTGACTGAGGGGTCTAATTCATGGCTTCTTTTCTCTCCATTCCTTCTCAACAGAATGGGAGCTGACCGATATGGTGGTGTGGGTGACTGGAGCGTCGAGTGGGATTGGTGAGGAGCTGGCTTATCAGCTGTCTAAGCTAAGTGTTTCCCTTGTGCTGTCAGCCAGAAGAGCTGATGAGCTAGAAAGGGTGAAAAGTAAATGCCTTGGTAAGTACATCTAAAATGTTGAGTAACACTTCCTAGAAATAAGTCAGAATCTCAGCTTTGGGAATTTTTGGGGTAAGGGGATTTTCCTTAGGAGCACATTTCTGGTTCCAAATGCTGCAGTACTTTGATCCAAAATTCTTTATTTTGTCATTTCAAAATTAACTGCCCTGGTATTTTTCTGCCATCTATTTACTTTATTATTTCCAGCCTCCCTTTCTTTCCCTTTGTTGTGATGATCACTGCAGTGCAAAGGGCACATTTGACTGCACTTGTGCCCTTCTAGGGATTACCCCAGTAGAGCTGGGTGGGGATTATACTGAGAGGGGGTGATGTCAATGGTGGTGTCAAACTCTTAGCCTCAGCTACATAAGGCAGGCATATAAGGCACTGAGCCACATCCTTGGGACCTTCTGCTTTATTTTTTGTTCTGACATGATTCTTGGCTTAAGGGAGTGGCCACCAATGCAGGTAGATTTTTAGACTAGATTTTTTTTTTTATGTATAAGCATTAGTTTTATATATATAGCTGTCACAGTGGTGCTTGGAGTAACATGTAGTGCTGGACATTGATCTCAGGGAAAATGCATACAAGCATGCATTCCAGTTCTTTGAGCTATCTCTTGGGCCCAAAGATTTTATATATCTCTATATATCTATACCCCCTCTCGGAGAGCCCGGCAAGCTACTGAGAGTTATCTCGCCCACACGGCAAAGCCTGGCAAGCTACCTATGACGCATTCGATATGCCAAACATAGTAACAAGTCTCACAATGTTACTGGGCCCACTTGAGCAAATTGATGAACCACAGGAGGACAGTGACAGTGACAGTGATACATATATATATATATATACACACACAGATATATAGATATACATATATATATTTATAAAGAGATAAATATACATATCTGTGTGTATATGATTGGGGGGGTGTTGGGCCACACCAACTACACCTGGTGCTACTGAGAGGCTGCCCTTGGCTCTGTGCTCAGGAGTCACTCCTGATGATGCTTGGGGGACCAAATATGGTACCAGAGATCTAACTGGGGTTGCCTGCCTGCAAGGCAAACACATTATCCACTGTACTGTTTCTCTGGCCCATATATAACAGTTTTGCTGTTTGATGTGATATAGATGAATATAACGTTAGTTAAAATGTTAGATATTAAAGTCATATGGGATGATGTTAGTTTTTTTCATTTAAAAACTAAGCATAGGGAATGGATTTAGGTTTAAAAACTATAATTTGAGGGGCTGGAGAGATATCCAGCACCATAAGGTCCCCTGAGTATTGCTAGGTACAGTCTTGGAGGTCCTCAGCTTTACTCGGTTTCCCACGTAAAGGCACCACAGGAGCGAGCAGCACCTGTCCTCGGATTGACTGAGAGTCCCTGGAGGGTCCTGGGTCTCCTGAGCACCGCTTGGGAGCCCCCCTGAAAAAATGCAAGCTGAGTTAACATCTTTCATTTTTTTGATAGGGCAACAGTTTTTATTTTTTTCTGTATCTCGCCCACACGGCAAAGCCTGGCAAGCTCCCCATGATGTATTCAATATGCCAAACACAGTAACAAGAAGTCTCACAATGGAGACGTTACTGGGCCTGTGCGAGCAAATTGATGAACAATGGGAGGACAGTGCTACAGTGCTACAGTAGTCATGCTTACATTGAAAGTAGCCTCAAGTCATAACATTATTTTTTTTTTATAAGACATTTAGTACCTAAACTGAGATACTTTAAATTTCTAAATAGATGTTTTTTGGAGGTCATCTGGCTACCATTCTTTAAAAATCTATCTTTCACTTTGCTCAGGGACGTCTCCACCCAGAAATGACAGTTGCCAGCACCACAAGGTCTCTTTTAGGGAACTGCTTTGAAAGGCCTTTTGTGTTTTTGCACTGGGTTACCTCTCACGGCAGTGACTTCTCCACTGTTGAGACTTATAAGTCCTGTTCTGTCAGATATGAACCATGTAAACATTTCTGAACTGGAATGGGAATGATTTGTTTTATCAGCTCATTGGTGCAAGCTTTCTTATAGCTTTAATGTTAATGTTTCACAGTGTACTCTTTCACCCATAAATTCTTTGTTTTGTTTTGGGGCTGCACTCGCAGTCTCAGGGCTTACTCCTACACTCAAGTGATCACTCCTGGCTAGCTCAGAGGACCGTATCTGGCACCAGAGATTGAACCCTAGCTGACTACATGCAAGACAGGCGTTTTACCTTCTGTACTATGACTTTGGCCCCTACCTATAAATTCTTGATAATTCAAATTTTTTTTGTACTTATTTTTATTAGTGGTAAAGGTTTTTTTTTTTTCTTTTTAAGGCTTACATATATTTCAGTGGTTTTTTTGATAAGCAGAAGTAGTAAGGGCTGAGATGGTCCAACATGTTCATTGGCTGGGAATTTCAGGATTGTGTCATTTTTTTAATTTGCTCTCCTGAAATCCTGAGCTTCTGCTGGAAGGAAGCGTCCATGTGACATGTGACTTGATGGCTTTAAGCTTCTTACTGATTTAAAAAAAAATTTTTTTTTTTTTTGAGGAAAGTGGCCACTTTGGAGGAGTGCTGAAAGGAGTTATAGTGCCAACTATTTAGGCAGGCTGTGGGGTGGGGTGGGAGGGTAACTCATTGGTGACATTGAGGACATTGGCGGAGGGCAGTGGATGTTAGTGAAGGAACAGGTGTTGAACATTGTCCACCTGAAACTCTATCATGAGTAACTTGGTAGCTCTATAACTCGTGGTGATTCAATAAAAATATAATTTTTTTTTCAATGCAAAGGACTGGAGCGATAGCACAGCGGGTAGGGCGTTCGCCTTACAAGCGGCCAACATGGCCGACCCGAGTTCGATTCCTCCGCCCCTCTCGGAGAGCCCGGCAAGCTACCGAGAGTATTCGATATGCCAGACACAGTAACAACAAAGTCTCCAATGGAGACGTTACTGGGCCCGCTCGAGCAAATCGACGATCAACGGGAGGGCCTTTACCTTTACCTTTACCAATGCAAAGGGGTTGAACCTGGGATTTCTTGAATGCCGGGCATGTCTCTACAAAGAGCTATATTATTTATTTATTGCCTCTGATCTCTTTTTCTTTGTGTGTGTGTGGGGGGGGAGGGGTGGCAAACAGAGCTTAGGCAGCCTGGGGTTCCCACCTAATAATACTTGGTCCCGCTGTGCCGACCTAAAGCTTGGGCCACACAGCACTGGGGTCCACAAGAGTTCTACTTAGCAGTGCCAGGCCTAGAAATCAAACTCTGGGGCCTCTGTATGCAAGGTATGTGCTCCAGCACTTTGAGCCATCTTCCTGCCCTATTTGTTTTAAACGTACTAAAGGAGCAACTAAACTTTGTGAGCTTACCATAAGACGAATTTATGATCCTCTATATTGATAAAGTGCTCTCTATATTTTCTTTTTTCAACTTGTGCTACAATCTCAATTTCCCTTTGTCTGTTCCAAGGGTAGACTGTTTCCAGGTGAAGAGAGCCATTCAGATTAGGTGTACATATCTGTCAGCAATTTGTTTCATAATATGTTGTCACCAGTCCTCTGGTTCCCTCTGGGGAAGATATTCTCTTCTCCAAGGCCAATCAGAAATGAGTTTGCTGCCAAGTAGTCTGGCTGTTGGTTCTTTTTTTGTTTTTTATTTTATTTTTTTGGTGGGAGGTAATTGAGGGAGGGAGAGCTGTTTAACTTAAGTAGCACAGAACTTGATTGAATGATTGTATGACCTCCACACTAATGTTTAAGTGTCTCTGTTTAGAAAATGGCAATTTAAAAGCAAAAGATATACTTGTTCTGCCTCTTGACCTGACTGATAGAAGTTCTCATGCAGCGGCTACTAAAGCAGTTCTTCAGGAGTTTGGTAAAGTAAGTAGCATTTTGAATTACTAAGGCTTGCTTTAAGGTAGCAGCAGAAGCTGCTCTGCTCTGAGGGGCTGTCATTCAAGGCAAAGGGGTCCATGCAGTGAGCTCCAGGCCCACTCGTTGGCTCTCATAATCTCTCTGGTTTCATGCGATCAGGACTTTTCAGATCTAAATAAATTCCTCCATGTGGAACAAAAGAAACTAAAAATAACTGCCCCTTTTGGTTTTGGTATTTTGCATAAAGAGCACACTTGGTACTTTCCATAAAACATTATTTAAAATCAGACTTGAATTCCATAGGTGAATTCTGGTTTTTATCTGATTTTATTACTGACTTCTGGAAATACCTGTCTCATTTATGCTTCATGTTAGCAACACAGGCACACATTACCTAGGAGTTATATCAGTACATCGACTAATCAGTCCCTAAATGCTGCTTTTCTGATTTATTTAATTAGATTGACATTCTGGTCAACAATGGTGGAAGATCTCAGCGTTCTTTGGTTATAGAAACCAGCCTGGATTTGTACAAGGAGCTCATAGAGATTAACTACTTGGGGACAGTGTCCTTGACAAAGTGTGTTCTGCCTCACATGATTGAGAGGAAACAAGGCAAGATTGTTACTGTGAACAGCCTCCTGGGGTTCATAGCTGCACCCCTCTCCAGTGGATACTGTGGTAGCAAACATGCACTTCAGGTAAGGCTGTTCTCACCCAGCTCTACTAGAACTGACCCAGACATAATGGGATCCACTATGACTGCAAGAAGTCACTGGAACTAAGCAGAACAGAGACCCAAGGACAACTTGAGCATCACAAGTCTTTCCAAATTTAATGTGTCTTGAGCACCTACACTGCTGCATGCTACCACAGGTCCTGAGGCTTAAAATATTTCTGGGGACTGGTCCCAGGTGAACAGGTCTGAAACAGGGGTGCCTCGAGGATTAAGGAAACAAGACATAAGGAAACAAGACATAAGAGAAAAGCTTGGGGTCAGGAGGCTCACAGTTTAGGGACTGAGGTTCTTCCCCACATTCCATATTTATTGTCTTAAACCAACAATCATAGAAAGAGCAAGGACAAACGTTTACAGATATTGCTTATCTGTGCTAATCTAACCAGGTTAAGACTTGTCAAAGGGGACTTGTAACTGATAGGCAGAAGTCTCTCAAGGGATTTATCTCAGAGGAACCTTTGAGATACTTCTCTGAGAGAGGAAGCAGAGATAAAAGTGGTTACAGGATCCTCATCAAGATAGCTTTCCCCATAAACCACTTATCCGGCCCTTCTTCTCTAATTTTTTTAACTAAGAACAATCATATGTATTCCCATAATTGTATCTATTTCTGACAAGATATGACCCTTGTCCTCAAAATGTGTATAATCAGCTTGTCATCCTTTGTATTTTCCTCATTTCTGGCCTATCCTGATGGCAAATGCATCTCCAATCAAAGATTTCTTCTACATATTGGAATGAATTCTTTTCCCCATTCCTCTAACTTCTCTTTCCTTAGACATTGTGGCTGGTGTTTATTTAATCTGAACTAAATGTGTTAATGTGTTAGAAACTTCCCACAGTATGATTAGTTCTGGACTTCATTTAGACTATCTTTGACTTCATTTGCCCTGTTTTCATGAGGGAAAAATTCTAGGATAGTGTCTAAGAGAAGACTGATGATCTGAATTGCATAATTTATGAGAATATTAGGAAAAATAAATTTGGCTGGAGGGGTTGCGGGAGGGGAACAATCTCCAAGCAGTGCTCAGGGGACCTAGAGGCTACTTTTGGCAATACTTGGCTTGACTCTGCAAGACTGAAGATTTGGTGCTTGATACTTGCTATCTGTACTGCTTAGATTGGTAGTGGGGGAGGTTGGGCATCAGGGATGCCCTATAGGTGCCTAGGGGGCCATGCAGTGCCAGGGTTGAATTTAGGACTTTGTATGCAAGGTATGCACTCCAACCCTTAGAGTAGTCTTTCTGGTTCCTCCAAATAACTTTTTATTTGGGCCACATACAACAGTGTTTTGGGTTTATATTCAGCTCAGTGTTTGGGGGTTGCTTCCGGTGTGCTAAGTGTGGGGCGTGGGGCATGTGATTCTAGGTATCAAGTCCTGGCTTTTGCATGCAAGTGTGTACTCTAGCCCTTTGAGTTATTTCCTTGACCCCAAAATGAGAATTTTTAATGTTTGCTTAATAAAGGAATGTTACAACATGAAACAAATTAAGTCAGAAGGTTAGTGTGAGGAGAATGATTGAGAAAAACATAATTTGTTAGTCATGCTATTGAAGGTTAAAGTGGAATGTCTTGCTTTTGGGGTAATGAGATCCAACAACTGAATTGTCATCACAGCGGTGAAGATAAGACATATTTGCTCTTTAGACCATCTTTCTGCTGGGAAGAGCAGTCAGTTGCAGAATGATTAAATAGTGCCACTCCGATATTTGGTCATGGGGCACCAGTCATTTCCTGCAGTTGGGAGAATCAGGTGAGCAGGTGCAAGATAGCAGTCACCCCATCTGTTTGGCACCAACTGTCTCACAGGATACAAAGGACCTTCAAAAAAACACAATGAGTTGTATGGTCCTCCAAGTATCCCTTTTCTTAGTGGACTTTGTCTTTTGATACATTGTGGCAAGTTGAGATTCTGTTTTTTCCAGTACCTGGAATTTTTTTTTTTGGTGGTGGGGAGGCTGAACCCTTTGAAGCAGAGCTTAGCCAGCCTCTGCTCTGCCTGGTGATTCTTACCCCACCAGGTTAATGGTACAGTGTGAGGGCCTGAGGATGCAGTACCTCTTGGGTCTCACAGTGCTGGGAATTGCCCAGGCCACCCCAGTGCTAGGGACGACTCCAGGGCTGCACTTAATGCCTGGATCACCATATGGTGCGGGGGGATCAAACCAGGATCTGCTACCTGCAGGGCATGTGCTATCTTTCAGACCCTCACAAGCCCTCTTTGAAGAGTATATTCCTTCCGTTCTAATTCCCAGCCAGCTAGAGTGAACTGGTTTATCACTAAAAAGGTCACATACAAGATGTGATTCAAAACAGGGAGCTCATGTGCCTGATGTATTCTTTTGCTGTAGAGTGGCAGAGAGGATGGTGCTGGAAGAGTTATCTTCATTCATAACACCCTTTTTCTGTCCCTTTGAGGCACGGCACTGTAGTCTGACAGCAAGAACTCTCACAGGCAGACTGGCTCTGTGTTGGTTAGGACCTGCATTAAGGCTGGTAATTGTTTCATGGTACTGGAGCATGAATGGACAGCAAAGGCTGAATTAGTTGTTTAGGCATTCAGTCGTTCACTCAGCTGCTAATGATGCTGTCCAGCGACATTTCCTAATTTAGGAAAAGAAGTGTGCAAGGTGGATGTTTACTCCCAATTAGGGCCAGTGTCTTTAAGTCTAGAGGGTCTTTTTTCCTTTTCTACAGCTATAGCCCAATCTATGTGTGTGTACACACACACACACACACACACACACACACACACACACACACACACACCTTATCAATTTATTCACTCACAACCCCAACAAAGATATACTTGTTGAAATTAGATTTGTCAGAATAATATTGAAAAAGTTGGGTGCATGCCTAGCATATGCCCAACCTGGGATAGATCCCTGGCATCACATGGTCCTGAGCATTGATGGGTACAGCCCTGGAGGCCTCTGGCACCATGTTCAGCAGTGTCTTATCCTAAAGTCCTGGCATTAAACCATGCTCCTTTGGGAGGGGGGAGACTGGGAGTAGGGTGGGGGGCTGTACCACTCTCTAGAGATGCGTGTTCACCTGTGAACCATTTCTATGGAATTGCTGAGCGTGCCTGTTCTAGACCACCTCCAAAGGAATTTGAATAAATACATTGCCTATTTTTGAATAAGACATTTTAGAATATATTTTGATAACATCCTATTATTTCTTCATAAAATGTAGAAGAGAAGTAATTTTATGTGACTAATAAACATGAGCTAATGTATATTTGCCTGTCTTCTTTTTGCCTGTTAGGGATTTTGTAATGGCCTCCGAACTGAACTTGCTACATACCCAGGCATAATAGTTTCAAACATTTGCCCTGGACCTGTACAATCAAATATTGTGAAGTATTCATTAGCTGGGGAAGTCACAAAGGTAAACATTTCTAGTTGTGGAACAACTTGAATGCTTTAGTTATAGAGTATGGTGGTTAACTGTTAGTGTTGTATCGTTAATGGTGATAATGGTTTTTGTGTTAGAGCTGCTTATGTATAATTTGTAAAACTTAACTCTTGGCATCAGGAAAATTGTTGAGAGTAGCTGACATTGCTTTGGTATCACTTTAATCAAGTCTAAAGAAACTGCTAAGATACTGTTTAGAAGTAATCCACTATGTAAGTAATCCATCAATATTTAAAAAATCTTTTCCATTCACAAATGAAACTTATAGTGGCAGAGATAGTGATTATCCTGAAGGAGTTTTCAATAGAAAAGCTTCTTTGAATTAAGATAACTTTAGCGTAGCCTCACCGCAGCCTGTGCTCTCTTTAGCAATTGATCACATATAGTAATCGATGAAATGATTGTAAAAGTCTCACAAAGAATCCTTTATTGCTTACCATACAGAATCCGTAAAAAGATCATGGCATTTTCCTTCTCCATTAAGATATTTCTAATGATAAATCTGTACATGTGTCTGTGTAAATGTTCATAGGTATAATTTCTCATACTTGTGGACATTAGTAGAATAAGCAGCCTATTTTATGAAACAGGTGACTTAGAATCTACACTTGGTTACCATTAATGATCTCTGTTTGGTCCTCAAAAAAAGTTTCCTTATTTCTAGAATGTAGTGAATTAAGTGGCTGGAGCAATAGCACAGCCGGTAGGACGTTTGCCTTGCACGTGACGGTCCCTGGGTTCGGTTCCTCCGCTTCTCTTGGAGAGCCCGGCAAGCTACCAAAAGTATCCCATCTGCACAGCAGATCCTGGCAAGCTCCCTGTGGTGTATTTGATAGGCCAAAAACAGTAACTAAATATCTCACAACGGAAACGTTACTGGTGTCCACTGGAGCAAATTGATGAACAATGGGAGGACTGACAATGCTACAGAGAGTTAAGATTAGTTGCTGATAGTTGCTGATAATTTTTCATGACCAAGAAACTGCTTTCATCTTCTTCCTCTATTTCTTAACCATGGACTTTGCTAATGATAACATTTTATTTTATTGTTAAATTTTATGCAGATGATACATAATTAGATGATAAAATTCCTTTTTTTTTTTTTGCTTTTTGGGTCACACCCGGCAATGCACAGGGGTCACTCCTGGCTCTGCACTCAGGAATTTCCCCTGGCAGTGCTCAGGGGACCATATGGGATGCTGGGAATCGAACTCGGGTCGGCCGTGTGCAAGGCAAACACCCTACCCGCTGTGCTATCGCTCCAGCCCCTAGATGATACAATTCTAATTAAAAGCAAATAACCTTAATCTTTTCCTTAGCCTGCATAATACAACTCATATGTTGTGAGTGTATGATTTCTGTTTTGTGAAGCTTTGAGAAATATTACAAATAGCTCAGATACCTTTTAGTACTCATAAAGTCTGAGGGACTTGTTGGCCTACTAAAGCAGTGACTCAGCTAGACACTTGGGTCTTTATAAGCTTAAAAGTTGTGAATTATCTCAGAGAAGTACTCAACATTCACATAAATTTTTGATTTCTTAGATTGTAGGCAATCCTGGAGATCAGTCCTTCAAGATGGCAACCAGTCGTTGTGTGAGGTTGATGTTAGTCAGCATGGCTAATGATTTGCAAGAAGCGTGGATCTCGGATCATCCTTATTTGTTGTTAGCATATTTGTGGCAATATATGCCAATGTGGGCCAGGTGGATCTCTGGGAAACTCGGGAATAAAAGGATTCAGAACTTTAAAAGTGGTGTGGTAAGACCAATTTATATTTTTTTCTGCTTTGTTTTTTGGGTGTTTATGGATGATTCCTTGTCTGTATGCTCAGAGATCACTCCTGGCAGTGCTCAGGGGACCACATGGAGTTTAGGAGATCAAATGTGGTTGGTCATGTGCAGGGCAAGTGCTCTACTTGCTGTCCTGTCTCTCTGGCTCTGATTTATACATATTGTCATATGAATCATCATTGCAGCAGATGCTTAAAATTTCTAGAACTTAAAAATTTCACATAAAGCGCCATACTAAACTTACGATATAGATACAACAAATATAAAAAGTATTCTATCAACCATGCAGGTATCTTGTTTCACTATAAATTATTACTAATTATTACTTGGAGGGAAAAAGGTTATTACAAGGTAAAATCAAATCACAGATTACCATATTTTTTTCTTCTGCTGTTCTACTTTATTTTTTTTCTAAAATGCTCTTTCTGGCCACTAAACTCCAATGCATCCTTCAAGTGAACTGGTGTGAACCTCCTCAGGGTGATATCTGAACTCCCTGTTTCTTCCCAGACTGGGGCTTCTCATCCTCATGCTTCTCTCTGTCAGCACACATTGTGCTGGTGAAGCACACATGAGCCTTTGACATCATTCTCAATGTGCCCAGCACATAGAATACACATCTGTGCCCCTTCTACAGAACCAGGCTGTCATCCTTTAGGAAATTATGCGGGCTGTAATGAGCTATATCTGAGAAAAACTGTCCCTATTGAGTTTAGTGTATAAGCAGCACAGGAAATATGAGTTTAGCCAAAAAGTTACAGATATGATTACATAAAAAAATTTTCAATGGATGGTTTTTAAAGCATGTCTTTCAGTGTTATGGCCTTTTAGAGATAAGTAGAGATTGATAATTCTTTTAAAAATGATGATACTGACTGGTTAAAGAAACTTCGGTACATTTACACAATGGAGTACTATGTAGCTGTTAGAAAAGACGAAGTAACGAAATTTACATACAAGTGGTACTACATGAAAAGTATTATGTTAAGCGAAATGACTCAGAAAGAAAGGGATAGACATAGAAAGATTGCATTCATCTGGGGAACATAAAGTAACAAAATAGGAAACTAACACCCAAGAATGGCCGAGATTAGTACCAGGAATTTTACTCCATGACTTGGAGGCCAACCACACATACTAGGGGAAAAGGGAGCTCAGATAAAGAGGGGGACAGCAAATAAAGGTGTTGGGAGGATGGGAGAAGCATGCAGAAAGTAGACTATAGACCAAACATGATTGCCACTCAATGTTTCTTTTGCAAACCACAACAGCCAAAAGGAGAGAGAGAACAGAGGGGAATGACCTGCCACAGAGACAGGGTGGGATGGGGGGGGTGGGGGGTGGGAAGGATACTGGGATCTGTGGTGGTGGGAAATGGGCACTGGTGGAGGGATGGGTGTTTGATCATTGTATAATTGAAATCCGAGCACAAAAATGTGTAAGTCTGCAACTGTACCTCATGATGTCTCACTATTAAAAAAATTTTAATAAAAAAAATGATGATACTGGGGTCAGATAGACAGGATAGCACTTTAAGCTCTGCAGGAGTGATTCCTGAGCACAGAGCACAGAGCCAAGAATAAGCAAGCTCTAAGCACTCTGGATATGGCCCAAACCTCAACCCTTCTAAAAAAAAGAAAAAAATAAAGATCATACCAAATGTGTCATAAGATATCACTACTTAAGCACTTCACAAAATGTTAGATATTTGATTTGTTCTAAGATTTTGAAAACAGTAAAAACAGTAAATTAGCAGGAAAAAGCTAAAAAAGCCAAACAAAATGCTGAGACTTAACGGTGATAAAAATTCAATCCTGTACTAATATGTCCAGAGTTAAAAAAATATGAAGGGCTAGTCATTTCCTATCAAGTTGTAATGTAGAGCAGTTTGCTTTGAACTAGTTCTTTTATAAAGAGTTAACGTAATGCTTGGACTTGACAGTGTGGGTTGGTTCTAAAATACTTCCTCAAAGATTATAACTGGGCATAAGCCAGTGGATGTGGTTGTACTTCATCTAGTGACGGATAAGACAGGGAAGGAAAGGACACTAGCTAGAGAGAGAATGGTGCCAGAGTGTCCTAGTGAAGATCAGAGCCACTGCCATGTTCTCCGGGACTTACTCATGGCCTAGGGTAAGTTATTTCCTTACAAGTCAGCCTCCCCATCTACAAAAGGATGGCATCACCTGGTGACCAGTGTGTTAGTGGTATATGGAAGCTCTTAAAACATATTTTGGAGGGTTGAGGAGATCATACAAAGAGCTAGAATGCATGCCTTGCCTGTGCAAGGTCCCATCCAGCACTGTACAGTCCCTTGGTCCTTCAAGCACACCTGAAACCCAAAACCAAAACTAAAACCCATAGCTTGGAGGGTGGGTTAAACAGATAGCTGCTGAGCTGATAGCAAAGATCAAAGAGTTAACTGGAGAGAGAAAGACAAATTTCTAGAAATAATTGTTTCACATGGTAGGAGGGATCAGGGGCTCTACTTTCAGTCCCATTGTCATACTTTTCATTCAGGGATATCCATACAAAGGCTTTTTTGTTTGTGGAATGTCTGCCTGTAAAGTATAAACATTGTTCAGAAAATTTAGCATTTACTTATATCTTTTACTAAAAATGATGGCCTTTCTCTCCCTACTACCATGTTTACAATACTGCTTATTATGTAATCTTACTGCTTTGTCATTTTTAAATGATAAACTGGGCTGCTTTTCATTTTTCAGTACCAGATCTGAGCTATACTTAATTATTTACATAAAACCATCAACAGTGACCAAAATACAGAAAGAGCCCACAGAATGAGAAAGAATACTTATCCAATACCCATCTGATAAGGGATTAATATCCAGGATATACAAGACATTGATAGAATTGTACAAGAAAAAAAAAACCTCCAACCCCATCAAAAAATGGTGAGAAGAAATGAACAGAAGTTTCCTCAAAAAAGAAATACAAATGGCCAAAATGCACATGAAAAAATGCTCCACATCACTAGTCATCAAGGAGATGAAAATCAAGATAACAATGAGATATCATCTCACATCACAAAGACGGGCACACATTCAAAAGAACAAAAGCAACCAGTGCTGTGTTGAATGTGGGAGAAAAGGGACACTCTTTCACTGTTGGTGGGAATGCTCACTAGTCCAACTTTTCTGGAAAACAACATGGACAGTCCTTCAAAAACTAGAAATTGAGCTTCCATATGACCCCACAATAACACTTCTAGGAATATATCCCGAGAATGTAAAAAAGCACAGTAGAAATGACACCTCTACCTATATGTTCATTGCAGCACTGTTCACAATAGCCAAATCTGGAAACAATCCAAGTGCCCTAGGACAGACGAATGGTTAAAGAAACTTTGGTACATCTACACATTGGAATATGCAGCTGTTAGGAGAGATGATGTCATGAACTTTGCTTATAAATGGATAGACATAGAGAGTACCATGCGAAGTGAAATGAGTCAGAAAGAGAGGGACAAACATAGAAGGACTGCACTCATTTGTGGAGTATAAAATAACATAACATATGGCTGACACCTAAGGATAGTAGATACATGGGCCAGGAAGATTGTGTCATAGCTGGAAACCTGCCTCATGAGCGGAGGGAGAAGGCAGCTTGAATAGAGAAGGGATCACTAAGAGAATGATGGCTGGAGGAACCCATCTCCCGGTTGGGATGGGAGATGTGTGCTGAAAGTAGATAATGGACCAAACATGATAACCTCTCAGTATCTGCATTGCAAACCATAATGCTCAAAAGTGGAGAGTATGAGGAATATTGTCTGCAGGGAGACGGTGGGTAAGGGAGGGTATACCTGGGATATTGGTGGTGGGGAATGTGCATTGGTGGAGGGATGGGTGTTCAATCATCATGTGATTGTAACCCAAACATGAAAGCTTGTAACTACCTCACGGTGATTCAATAACACTTAAAAAAATAAAAAAACAAACACCATAGGTACTAAAACAAGAGCTCCTAATTTTACTCAGTTTTTTACTCCTTACTGATCCTTTTTCTCCAAGACTTTTATTTCTGGGACCAAACCTAGCAGTGCTTAGTGGCTACTCCTCAATGCTCAAGAGTGCTAGTGCTCAGGGGATTATATATGTTGCTAGGGATTTGAAACCAGGTCCCTGGGATGGAAGTCAAGTGTCTTACCTGCTGTATTATATCTGTAGCCCCAGTTATTTATTGAGGCAAGTCACCATAGGCACATGAGCACAATATGCTGATCCAGAGAGAAAGTTTCAGCAGTTAAGAAATGGCATAAGCAGAGGCTAGCCAGTGGAGAGGAGATAATGATGCTTAGCCCCTTAACAAATGTTTTTCTGTGGATATAGAATTTGGGTTGTTATTTATTTGCCCAGAAATAAATTTATTTATTTTATTATTTATTTTATTTATTTTATTATTTATTTATTCTTAACTGTGAATCACAATGATTTATTTTTCCTAGAAGTTGTCAAAAAACTGAGGTAAATACAAGGGGAGACTAATTCATGTTACTGTCATTTTATTATAGGATGCTGATTCCTCTTTCTTAAAAATCTGGAAGACAAAACGTGAGTGAAGGAGTACTTGAATTTTTGAAGTGCCTGAAGACAAAAATGGAAACCATGAAAACAGCAATTCTCTTTTCTTATATACTGTAGATTAATTTGTGATTTAACTTTTTAAGGAACTGTTGTCAACATAATAATAAATGATTGTTGGGCATCTGCCACAGGTGTGTTCTGAGTCCTACCTGCCCCACTCTCAATCATTAGCAGTTAGGCACCAGAGTCGCTAGCTTCTCCATGTCCTGCAGTACCGCACCACGAGCTGAGGCAGCCAGAGAGGGAGACCAGCCGTTTTTCGCTGGAACCTTGCACTGTCCAGGTGTCTCAGACAGTTACCCCTTTGCTCAGTAATTTCGTCTCAGGGCTCCCCCTGCACTCTTAGGGGTCTGAGCAGTGAGTGGCTCTGAAGGCTTCCCTCAGGCTGTCAGGGGTACAGGTCAGCAGTAGCCATAGCAGATGGTAATGACGGCCATTTAGTCCTCTCAGCTCTCCGAGCTTGTCTCAGTGGGAAGCTGCTCCTAGTAGCTTCTCCTTGTAGTGTTCTAGCCTACTCAGGTTCTTGGCAGTCAAGACTGAAAGCAGAGGACTGGAGACTAGATGATTTGATTCTATAGGAAGTATTTGAGGAAAGAAAGGGCAGGGCAGGGAAGCTGTGATATGGGGTATCCTTAAGTAGGATGTCTGTTTAAAGATGAAAACATTTTGTTTTTGTTTTGGGGCTACTCCTGGCCATTCTCAGGGCTTACTCCTGGCTCTGCACTCATGGATCACTCTTGGTCGGCTAAGGGATGATATGCAATGCTGGAGATCAAACCAAGGTTGGCCATGTGCAAGGCAAATGTACTATCTCTTTGTCCCCCCAAGACTTTAAATATCTTTACAAGTTGCCAGAAACCTCAGAAAGCAATTGTTCCCATATATCTTTAACATATTGCTCTAATTCTTTACCTCAGTTTGACTTGAAAATTATTGCAGACAACTTTATTTCCTCTTTATTCTCGTCAAAAACTTGCAAGATCAAATAATTGCTTTTCTGTTTAGAAATAGTATTGACTCTAGAGACCTGTATGTTTTTAAACCAAACCATTCTTTTTTTAACCAGTTTTTATTTACCAGTTATTTTAAGCCAGATATTTTAATAATTTCAATCAAAAGCAAAATAAACATACATTTAGAAGCAGAAAGAAGTATCTTTGTTTTTACTAAAATTTTAGATATGAGGGTATATTCCAACTGTTTATAAAAAACCAAAAAATACTTTCTTGGATTTAATTTTGATAGTTTTTTCTTTCTGCTAAATGCTGCTGAAATTCTATCCGAGCTCATAAAACAGTCTAATATCTACTTAAAATTGACTAAGGCCTATACTCATTCCATTATCTCATTCCATTTAACATTTTAAATAAGATATTTATAATACTCTATTTTTCCCATAGAATAACCAGTTCTGAGATTTTCCAATATTATTCAACAAATCAGTAAACATTTTTTGTCTATTCAAAAGATGAAAAGTTAACTCACCATACAATAGAACTAAAGGAAAGAATTTACATTTTAACAGTTTTAGCTAGGCCTTGTATTTCTTGGAGCAGAACACTACTCTTAGATCTCTGGTATTATTTTATTATTACAGCTTAGGTAACACAACATATAAGCTCTGAGATAAACATGAAAAACTCTGAAACTCAAAATCACAGTATATATTGCATAGTCCATGAATAAGGTATCAAACATATTCCATCCAAATTCAAGGTGGGTGAGAGAAGTTTTCTAAAGGACACCAAGGTTTTTAAATTGCAGACTACACATTGTTCTGATCTCCAGTAATGATGTAGTTTATCTTCTGAATTAAACCAGATCTGAGCATGATAGTTCCTATTTTAGACTCAAACCTGGCTTTGATATTCCAGGGTTACACATAGGATAAACTGACTATAGACAGAGATGTCCAGCCCAAATTCACACAGTTGATATCTGATTTGCCCCTGCTGTTTGAAACATCAAGAGGTCGTGAACAATGCAAAAATTTACATATTTTTAAAAAGCACCTCTTGTAGAGGCAGGCTGGTGGGTGGGAGGCAAAGGTGGGGGTCGGGGAGTGGGGGGGATTGGTGGAGGGAAGTGGGCACTGGTGAAGGCCTATAAAATTGAAACAATGTATTCCTGAAATCTAATCATGAATAACTTTGCAATTTCAATGACCAATAAAAAAAAATTTTTTTTAAAGTGATGGTGAGGGCTGACTGGGGGAGGCAGTTGGTTTGGGTCCAAGAAAGAGAAGGAACATCTTCAGGGCAGAAAGCCCTGTTGTCTGATTAGGATGATGTTCCTTGTTTTTGTCCTCACAGCAGACTCCACTCCCAGCTTGTTTGATAAGGAAAGGGTCAAGAAAGAGCTCTGTGGTACCAAGCCAGAAGGTTGAAATAGGGCCAAATAATTGTCAGTGATGGGAAGTTCCTGGTAGGTAGAGGCAGTCCCAGTGGCTTCTGAACTTAGCAGAGGCACAAAGGCAGATGCAGGAGATGGAAGGCACTTAAACTTTTTATAACATTTCTAATTGAATGACAGTAGTAGTAGTTACTTAGGCCTTTCCTAGGATGCCAATGTCCCACATCTGCAGTTGGGAATTGGGGCTGAGATGAAAAAAAAACAACTTAGAAAGGGAAAGTAGGGGGAGCCAGTATAGTGCCCCACCTTTCTTTGGGGGATATTCTGACTTAAAAGTGGAATTTGGGAGTCAAAGAACATGTACCCATTTCAGAGAGAGTGGAGTGGGGATAATGGTAAGGAAAGTATTTGATGGAGGGAGGTGACTATTTATCTTCATTATAGAAGAGGAGGAAATGGATTCTCAGAAGGAAAATAAGACCAAGGAAGTGACTCCTGTGTCCAGTAGGAGCTGGAATGACTGACCTCTCCATGGCGTCCCAGAGTTTCATACCTCAGCTGCAATGCCAGGGCCGAGAGAGATCCAAACAATCCCCCCTCTCGGGGTTTTATACAATTCCTTGTCCCGTGACCCACCTTGTTTGGGCATAGAGTCTAAAGTTTCTTGGAGTGTTTGGTATTTTCCCTTTCAATGGCCTGAGATTTTCACTGGAAGCAGGGGTCTTTTGGTGTGGGGACTCTGGGCCCTCCCATGGGGTGGTTGGATTTAAGAGCTGCGATTAACTGGTGGTAGGTACCTTTTCTCCTTTGTCTTTTGCTTCTTTTTTAGTTGACAAAAGAAAAAGAGCTGTCTGATATTATAATAAAGATTAGTAATCTTTATTATAGTTTCAGTCAAAACTATTTTTTTGCACTTAAACTTGAACCAAATCTTAGCACACAAGAAGATCTTAGCTTAGATGAGTTCTTAGGGAAGGATCAACTATTTCCTACCTAGGAAAAGAGGAGGTACAAAGGAAACCGGGCTAGTCACAGTCAGGCTTCCTGGCCAGATGTTTCTCGGGGTCTCCTTATCCATCTGGCCCTTGGGTTTCAGCTTAGAGCACTTCCCTCACCCACTGTGGTCCTTTTCATCTTCGGTTAGGTGTTTCCTCCCTAAGGGGACCAAAGTGACTATGACTAGACTGACAATCCCTGAGGTGCAGGAAGTTGGAGACCCACCTACTGGGGGAGTTTCATGGAGGTCTGTTCCAAGATAGCTCATCCCCACCCCGGGAGAATTCTAGGGATGTCTGTCCCCATACAGAGGGGTGGCACTTGAGATGACAAGCAAACCATTCAATTAAGGTACTCCAATTAGACAATGGATACTCTCTCCCTTGAGGATTGACTGAAGGGGGGGATTCTAGCCAAATTCCAGGAGGAGGGCCCTTTTGAAGATCATACAACAGATCACATAACATTTAGATGGGGCAGACAGATGAGACAATTCCTGACCTAGTACAGGAATGGAGTAAGAAGTAAGGTGGCAGTGGGGGTAAGGTCACTCTGAGAGTAAGCAACTCGAGTAGAGACCTGGAAAAGGGGGCCCTGAGAACTGCTAGTCAACCCAGATGTAATGGGGTGTGGGGGCTGGATATGCAGATTAGTTTTCATGTTCTTCATAGGTTCCACCTCAGCCTCATCTTTCAGAGAGGAGTCACGATGTGCCAGAACACAGTCTGTGGAAGCTTACTCTGTTTCTGTAGTACTAACTGCCTTCCACATGATTAATCCAGTTTGGGGATAGCCTCTTGGGTGGCCTGTCTACTACTAGGCACCCACACACTGACCAGGGGAACCCAGCTCCCCATAAGGCAGTGACCCCACAATCCTCTGACAGTCTGACAGCAGTGTTGACTGCTTTGGGGTGCACACAAGGGCAGGTTCGCGGAATGCCATTGTGGGTGTTCTGCAAATAAAAAGCGTGCCCACCTCAGGTGGCACTGTGTCCCAGGCACCGGGGCTGGTGGTGCCAACTTTTGGCTTGTCGGGTTCCAGCAATTAGAGAGGATGCAGCCCCATCTAGCATCTTCTCTCGGGGGATAGGAGAGAAAGAGGGAGAGAGCAGGGAGGTCTGACACCTGCCCAGCCTTGCTGTCCTGCTGGTTCACTCTCCCCAGGATGGAGACCCTGCCAAACCCTAACAGCAGAGAGACAAATGGGGAGCAAGAGAGTACAGGCTGTCAGAATCGAGATAGTCAGAAGGGATCAGAGCTCCGGGCATGCTATGAGAGGTTAGACAACAGGCTAAAGGAGTGGAAAGACCAGTGAATGTCCATTCATTTTCTCCTGAAAATTTGTACAATTTTCTGCCTGAAAATTTTCAGGCAGCTTTTCCACGGGACCTTTAGAAATGCCCAAGAGAACATCTGCTAGCAACATCAGCTGTCTTCCTGGGAACCTGCGTTTTACTCTTGAAGACTCATTTTACTCTTTTCAGCACATAAAAAAGCAGAGGAATCTCCTCTGCAGAGACTAGGAAGGTCTAGGAAAATGGAGGGTTGGGGGTGGTGGTGGTGGTGTGTGGTGTGTATGTGTGTGAAGACTTAGCTCAGAGGTGAGAGTAAAAAAAAGTAGAGTGATTATTTGCCAGTGACTGAGCACCCCAGAAAGGGCTTAGGAGAGAGGGAGTCTCCAGCTCCCAAAGAATAGCCATGGGAAAAATGGTCAGTTCTCCATTCACTCCTTTCACCACCATCAGATAAGTTGGCCAGAAGAAGCAACCACAGATTTG